CGACGGATTCAACTCGGCTTGGCAGCGTTCGGGAAACTACGAGACATCTTCTCGTTAGACATGCCTCAAAACCTGAAAACAAAATTGTACAACCAGTGCGTGTTGCCAGTTCTGACTTACGGATCTGATACGCTTCACTCCTTCCTCCTTCACTGCTGGCCGTATGAGGAAGCTCAAGGTCGCTATGGAGAGGGCTATGCTCGGGACTTCTCTGCGTGATAAACTTAGGAATGAGGATATCCGCAATAGAACCAGAGTAACCGACATAGCCCAACGGATTAGTAAGCTGAAGTGGCAGTGGGCCGGCCATATAGCTCGAAGAACCTACAACCGATGGGGAAGAAAGGTTCTCGAGTGACAGCCTCGTACCGGTAGGTGAAGTGTAGGGCAACCCCCCACTAGATGGAGTGACGACCTGGTAAGACATGCAGGAAGTCGATGGATGCAGGTGGCTCAGGACCGTGCTTTGTGGCATTCCTTGGGGGATTCCTATGTTCAGCAGTGGACTTATGAAAGGCTGTAAGGATGATGATGATGATGATGATACTTTTAATACTTTCTATCTCGAGCAGTCACTGGCAGTGATGAATAACGATACTGGTGACGCTGAAAAATTAAAATTTTTTATTCATATCATATAAATTCAAAACGTATAATATTTTACAAAAATAACACTCACGATACGAACAAGCAAATAATTTATGAGCCATTTCAATACAACAACTTCTTAATTTTAGCATGGCGTCAATCCTGATGAACGTTTAAATTGGTTATTAGAGGGATTCCCGAAAATAAAAGAGGCAAAAACAAGCACCCGTATCGGGCCTTATCCGATGTCTCGTCTCTTACCAATGTTTCATGAAGATTATTTCCTATATTGGGGAAGTTTAGAAACGGTTAAAGGCGAAAGTTATGTCATTCGGTGGATCGTTCCAAGGATTACGTTGTTTGCATCTACAAGCCAGGTATTCACATGTTTAAAATATTTATTTTATAGTACGTTACCTCAAAAGGGAAAATTTTCTAGGAACATTTTTTTGTATATCGAGAAACTTTTTCCCAGGAACAGGCTGGTAAGTATCAAGTTGAAATTAATATCAAATACTAAGGTCTAAGGGCCTAAACTTAACCATCAAAACCTATATAAAGTAGGTAGATGTTTTCGTTCCTGTTGATCTAGAATCTTAAATTTAAGAAGAAACAAGGTCTCACAGCATTTTACTTTAAAAAAAAAAGTCACCTTCACACTAAGATTTTCTCCTGTATCTTGGGGCCAATTCACTTACCCGGAACAACTTTTTGTAGGCGTGTATACAAATATTTTTTCCGTGCGGAATTCGAACCAGCGGCCCTTAGCGCTGCAAACCTTTGCTAAGCCACTGCGCCATCGAGCCATAAAATTAAAATAAAAAACCCAAAAAATTTAAATTAAGGAAAATTAAATTAGACCCGCCATAATAAATCTTTGATTCTCGGCTTCAAAACAACTGAAGGAGGATCCTATGCGGATTAAGTCGCGGGCACTACTAGTTGAAGGACAAATACATGTCAGAACTACTAAAAAGGAAGGGAACTAAAAAGGAAGGAAGGACCCAACGTTCAAACATTGCTATAACAGCCACAATAAAGATTTTAAGTCGCTAAGAAGGCCTTTGATCTATTTTTGACCTCGTAATAAAAAGAGTGTAGACGAGAGCTAGATCTAAATTTTCATTCTAATCGGTTATTTACAGATGTCCGAATTCCGCAAGCTATGGGACCCGTGGGATGAACCGAATCTGGCGAACTATAGGCCCTTACAAGAAAGACGAGAGAGACACGTATTCTTTATTAATCCACATTGGAGTCAATACAATTCCCTGTTGCCAATACCGAGAATTCCAGAGCAGTCTAGATCAATTCTATCGCCTGCATATCAGGAACATCCATGGATGCTTCCACCACAGAACAGGCCACCAGATCCTGAAAAAGAAAATGAAGCCCAACCATGAATAACAAAAGAAATGTGTAAAACATGTGTAAAATATATAACAGGAAAATTATCAAAAACTGAAAACTCACTTATAATACTTGTAGGTGGCGCAATGAGTTCTACTATGAATTCATTACAAAACTAACTGGCTATATTGCGAACATGAGTCATTTTGGTCCATAAATCTTGGATTTGTTAAAAGCTTAACTAATGCGGCATCTATTTTATCCTAACATTGCTATGAATCATCGTCTGTACAGAACAAAGTAAAGATCAAAGTCAAAACTATTCATTTAATTTAAGCTTCTTAAACGTGATAGAGCCATGCTGAAGCTATATTAGTAGTATTAGTATAGTTGCTCGACCGGGGAAGAACCTCGCTCTCACAAAATACCCGCGTAAAATAACAGCTTAATAGTGCTGTGTTTTGTATGGTGAGTGTAGAAAACCGGAGACTCTTTTTAACGGAAAAGAGGCGTTCCATCTTAGTCCTCACGGGTGACAACGCCTCTGCGTTTGATTCTTTATTGAGGATAGATGTAGATGTCTATGGGTCACAGTAAACTCTTACCATCAGGTTGACTGTGTGCTTGTTTGTCACCTTATCCTATAAAGGGCTTGTGTAACGCTAAACCGTGAAGTGGCGGTGTAAGAATTATTTTTTTTCTTGTGGGTGTCGTAAGAGGCGACAGAGAGGAACTTATACAAGAGGATTTTTGATTTGGAATTGTTATAAGTGTCTTCTTGATAACAACTCCAAATAATAAAAACCAGGCAAAAATATTGAGATATTTTTTTAAAGTCATGTCTCAGTTTCATTTAGAACTAGCTGTTCCCAGCGATTTCGCCCGCGTGTTATTTGGGGCTTTAATTTTTTTGCGCGCGGATCCCTAATTCTTTTTCTAAAATAAAAGTAGCCTAAGTTACTCCTTGTGACATCAGCTATCTGCTAGTGAAAATTCCATCAAAATTGGTCCAGCCGTTTCGGAGATTAGCCGGAACAAACAGACAGACAGACAGACAGACAAAAACTTTAAAAATTGTATTTTTTTTATTAGTACCGTATATACTTTCATATGCATTTAGTAAAAAGCTCTAACTTTGACATTACAAACAGACACTTCAATTTTATTTATTTGTATCGATATAGATAATTACCATTTAGACAAAGATCGAACAATAATATATTAAAACATCTATCAAAAAACCTCTAGCCCGGGGAATTGCAAGTGTAGAGTAAAAGTTATTTCTACACATCATTATCCACAATCCACAATATATTGATCCATTTTTATAGAGTTTTTTTTTAACAAAATTTCATCAATGACTTTTCAAAATTTATACCTGATTGATTCATTAAAATTTTAGAATTTTTATTATAGAATAGTTTACCAATTATGTTGTCATCCACTCTGGAGCTTGTAAACAATAGAAATTCCAAAAGGTACGGTCTAACTTCGGAAATATCACTCATTAAAAAATATATAGTATGAACAAGTGAGATGCGGGAAGCACAGAATAAATAATAGTACTAACGTACGTAAAGTAAACACTGTGTAAGAACCTCCAAAGGAGGTGGAGTTATAGCCGAAATAAGAATTTAGTTTTGGTTTTTGACTATTATGACTCCCTAGGAGTGTCATGAGAACTTTTTGCCCCTATTCATCTAGGACCCCCATGATATCCTCTACATGATAGGCTGTTAAAACTGACTAGGCATAGAGTTCCAGTTCCCCCCCCCCCCCCCCCCCGCGGGGTTCGAACCTTGGGTTGCTCGCGTAAAGTAAAATTTACAGCGAGCACTTAACCCTTGAGTTACCACGTCTCACAGGCTAAGCACTCGCTGTCTGAACTAATAAGCTTGAAACAGTATATTACTCGTTTAACTCATGACAACCGACGTAAATAATGCTTTTAAAGGTAAAGCACAAAATCCTGGTAAAGATACAAATTTATAGTCCACTACGCGTCCATCCCGCCCTACTATTTGTAGTACAAACGACCAATAAAATTAGGATTTATATGTGACTCGAAGCCAATGACCAGTTTGCCGAAAATTTATGTTAAAAAATAATTATTATTATTCTTCAAACTTAAGTTTTCGGCAAGTATTAGCAATGATGTTGTTCTGGCTTTAATTAAAAAGAAAATTATACGATTCTGACGTTTTATTCCTGGTAGAGCCATGCCGAAGCTATATTATGATTGTAGCACAAATGAGTCAGCTCACCGTTGAAAGACCACGCCCTTACAAAAAAATTACATATAATTTAAAATTGTAAAAAATTTGTACAGCCGACTTCAATATAAGTTATTAAGAATAACTCAAATAAGTCAAAAACTATTGGTCTGACCTTGATCAAATTCATAATATGGGACCACACGAGAAGCGATCGTAAGAGTAAGGTATTATCTGACGACTTCCAAAAAGGAGACGGTACTTAATTCGACTGTATGTTTTTTTTATGTGTGTTACCTCATAACTTTTTACTGGGTGAACCGATTTCGACGATTCTTTTTTTATTTGAAAGCTGGTACTTCTCGTGTGGTCCCATATGAATTTGATCAAGGTCAGACCAATAGTTTTGAGTTATTCTTAATAACTTTATATTGAAGTCGGCTGTACAAAATTTTTAATTTTAAATTATTTAAATTAGGGTATGCACATCATTTAATTTTTGTATGCGAATCTTAGCAATCTTTTTCTTTATCTAACTCCAGAATATTATCGGAAACTATGAAACAACTAAGCTGCTGTGTTTCGTATGGTGAGTGCAGAGAACCGGTGACCCTTTTTACTAGAAAGGAGGCATTCCATTTTAGTTCTCAGGGGTGACAACGCATCTTCATTTGATTCTTAATTGACGATAAATGTTGATACCTATGGGCAACAGCATCCACGTACCATCAGGTGGACTCGTTTGTTACCCTTATTCTATAAAAAAAGCACTATGGTTAGAGTTGTCATACGTCCTGTATATACGGGACTGCTACGGTATTCAACCATCTCGTCCCGTATTGATGATACATGGTGGTGACGCGAGTGGCAAAGATACGAGATGGCAAAGTAGAAATTCTAAACGAGCACATTAAAATCTATAAAATCGCCAATTTTCAAAACACCCAGAAAACTTTCCAGGTAACCTCTTTCTTCAGCACCATAGGCCTATACTACAAGCGGCACGGTTGGCTAGCGGAAGTTGCGGAGGCGCGCGCATGTGTGAGGTGAGGGGGTTCCAGGGCATGAAAAAATAAATATAATCATTGAATAAAAACGTTGTTTTCGATTTTATATTTGTTTTATTGTATACTTTGGATGCCAACTATGATTGGGACCTGTTGCGTAGTTTGTCTTTCATTAGTATACATACATGCTTTGATGTAGTTGAAACGCTGCATTTCGGCGTAAAATATGTTAATGTGATGTGTTTTGAGCATCGAAATTATCAAACGTCCCTTATTATTGATTCCTGGAAGTTATGGCAACCCTAACTGACATAACGCCTGCCGCAAGTGTACACGCACACATACTAGTATAGGTACGCACGCAAACTAACAAACTCGTAACGCTTATGTAATCATCATGGGCAAAACAAATACTCGTAACTCGTACAAAGCACCCTTCTTCCAATTTTAAAGTACGAGCGTTGAATATATATGAATAAAAGATACTTATGAATAAAGTGGTTAACGAATACAGAAAATAAATATAACAGCAGTATCCTTTCCTAAATATTGCCGCTGCCATAATTTGCAGCATATTTGGCCTTGTGGTCGGAGTACCTGACTTCCAGAGCGTAGGTTCTGGGATTGAATATAAATTAATGTAAAATCCCGTATTGTGTACCCTTTCGAGAGACCCAAGTCACATAAACTCATTTTATATAATAATCACTGAATTTTAAATTGGTGTCTTTTGGAAAGGATGCGCAATGCCAGCAATAGGTGTCCGCGGAAGACCAGCGTCTTGACATGCTCTAGGAGCATGTCATGACAAATGCTGAGCGGAAGCCTGTTTTGGCACAGTATTAATGTCTGTTAACCATTTGTAAATGTGCATACATCGCTGTGCCAATAAAGTTTATTTTCTTTCTTTCTTTCTTTCTAGAATGTATGCTCAAGCTCAAAGACACGAATCAATTTAGAATCAAAATGCAAATGCATGATTACTCTCAAGGATTAAGATGGAATCCAAGGATGGATCCAATCACGTTCGATTCGTAAATCGCCCGATGGTACCAGGTGTCACGCGCATCGCGGGGAGGCGGCAGCGGTAGGCAGCTTCCCAGCGTGTGACGCTCGTGGGCGAGAGAGAATAGTAGCTCGACGGCGGCTGGGCAGTTAATTGGTGTCTTTCGATACCCGCCGCTGAGGTTTCGCGAGACCTTTTTTTTTTGGATTAAGGTCTAGCGCACAATTTTGTAAATTGTGCGCGTGACTTCGCTACGTAATTGTGTTTCATGAAAACCGCCTCGTCTTAGGTTGTCTAGGGTTTAAGTTCTTGACAAGAGGCTTGTATTGTGTTTAACTGATTAAGTTAACTTCTTGGAAAGTAATTGTGCCGTCGCGTTAAGTGCCCTTTTTTGTGTGTTGACTGGTTTGTTAGGTTTACGTGTCTACGAGGCGTATTTTGAATTCTTATCGCGGCTAGTATTGGATATCGAACGAAGGAATTTAGTTGTGTTTGTAACGCTGAACCGTGTGACTTACCAAGAGATCGCGTTAGTTCACTATTCGTCATTTGGTGATAAATGAATCCGGGACATTGAATGTTGAACTTTGAATTACTGTCCGTTACTGAGTCGGGTGTCACGTGTTCGATTCTACGATGAATGTGGAATTAGGCGAGTTTAAGTTAGTTAAATGTACAATGAAGTTAATAGACTGAAATAGTGCCATGAAGAAAGAAATGGTCCAGCGAGGAAGACTGCTGGAGTGATGCAGCATTGTGGGGCAGCCTAGAAGCCGGCCGCTGCCGGCCGCCTCAGCTGGTCTACATCTCAGACATACACATCACTAAACACTACTTTCCATGAACCTTACACCCACCTACGGCCTGACCGAGCCTTGGGGCGGTCTTAGCTTCGGATACAGTTACGTACTATATTTTTCTAGCCTTCTCCCTACGTTTTAGTATGATAAGACATTCTTCCATATGGCCATTCGGGCTCGAACCCGCGGCTGCCCGTTGAATCTTCCGCTCATGTGCCCCGGGAGACTTGACCTTTGCATGGGCAGCTGTGGGCCGTAACAGTGATATATATTTTTATGCAGGTTTTTATAGTGATATTTTATAAGTGGTATGACCATTATTGTACTTATAGTACTTGCAATATTAATAATTATTAATATAATGCACAATATACAATATATTAAAAATTAATTATATATACTACAGGGTTGACGGGGGCGCCATCAAAAGGCTCTTTCTGTATTTGCATATATTCCGTTACTAACACAATAACTAAGTTTATCTACAAACTTCTTTAATGTTAGCATATAGTTAATGTTTATTCGCGTGTAACTGAGATTTCAAGATAAACAAAAGGCTAAAACGTAATGAATTAAATACTCTTTGGCTTACATTTTAGGCTTCTGTAAAACGGGCGGTTCCACCGCTGCGGGGATTCAGTCATAGGCCATCGTAAATTCGTAAAACTACATGATGTGTGATTATCTTTTGTTTATTTTTAGAATCATGTGATCAATGATTTCTTTAATAGCACTTTACTGCTCTTAAAGCGCTTGTTCTAAAAAATACAATTTAAGCCTAACCGATAATAACTTCGGGAATGTTTTTCATTTTTAAACAATTACCTTATATTATATAAGCCGGCAGCAAACTTATTCAGTAGTGGGAAACTGACCCCGTGTAGTTTAAACAAGCGATTTCCAGTATCGAATTGACTATTTACCATATATAAACCTCTGTGTACTCGTAGTTTGCAGCTTAAAACTCTCATATTGTCGGCGACGATTTACAAGAGGATTTCCGCGGCAGGAGCGGGGAACCGTCCATTTAGCATGAGCCTTAGGTAATTAATTTGTTGGCGTAGTAAATTAAATTAATGTCTCAGCTTCAATATGCTCTGCACGTTAACAGCCCACGTGCTTTTAACGTTAAGTTGTACCACACGTTCGTGACCCCACATTACGTTCGCGATCAGGAGTACATTAAAATGCGTTATCTAAACTTACGCTTTAGAAAAAATGTTACCTTGATTTATCCGACGTTTTGAATACACCACTGAATATAACACTTTTTATCAAGAATTAAACTTAATCCCTTTTTCCCTAAGATATATTCATATTTACCACAGTGGGCAGATGAGTTGCCGCCGGTGTTTCGTACTGGTAAAACTATCTAGCTACTAGCCTTTATCATTAATTCTTAGATTATTGATAAGTCATCGCATCGACTTATTAATAACCTAAGTCGTGTCTGTAATTCTAATATATTCTTGAAAAAACAAGTCCAGAGGACTAAATAAAGGGTTCTGAAGCCAAATTAGTGGTTTTTAGAATTTTTGTCTGTCTGTATGTCTTTCTGTCTGTCTGTCTGTCTGTCTGTCTGTGTATTCCGGATTCACGCAAAAACTACTGAACCGATTTACATGAAATTTTGTATGTAGGTAGTCAGTAACCCGGGGCAACTTATAGGCTACTTTCTATCCGATTACGGAACTTCAAAAAAGGATAAATAGCTTTAATAAGAATAAGGATATTCATACCTTAAACACTAGAAACAAACATAAGCTTGTAATGCCACTTACTAGATTCCACAGAATTAGTAATTCATTTATGGGGCAAATACAACAAAATCCCAGAACATGTTCAAATTTTGTCAATAAACAAGTTTAAAAGTTTTATTAAAGAAAAACTGTACAAAAAGGGTTATTATAATATCAAGGAATACATGAATGAAAATAACCCCTGGGAATAAGGTGATCGCCACCATACTGGTTCTATGAAAATTCATTTAAAATTGTATAAACAAAATTATTGTTAAGTGAAATTATGTTTAAAAAAAAGTTAAGTTGATTAGAAAATGGTTTAGATTCACAATTGGACCCGGTAGGTAGCATTGTTGTTGAGATTCAGAAATCAACAGTGCGAAGCCGAGGTGGATCGCTTGTATATTGTAATGATAATATAAAAAACTTAAACTAAAAATATTCCCACGACATAGTGTCTAGAACGCTGGCTGCCGTCCCTCGATAAATAACCATACCTACTTAGTCTCTTTTGCGAGAATAGAACAAGGCCTCTGGTCACCAGTGGCGACAACTGCCTGAGTCGCGTACACAGTTTCTTTAGGAACTTTACTTCTAGTGTTTGCTCGGATCGATTGTCTCTACAGCAAATGGCATAATATGTAGTCACCTCTCATATTTACGTCATTGGCTCTAAACAAGGTAACCTCTGAAATGAGAGGCCTCCAAAGTGTCTACGCATTATCATCCTGCGTCTTTTAAGCACTTTGAAGTCGGTTTTACTTTGTATTGATGTTAATGTTTTTTTTAACCTTTTTGAGTTGATTATGGAATATCTCAAGCTCAAGGTAACAATCTTTGGTAACAATTAGAATGTCGTTCAAACATAAATAACTTCATCCGTTGTTTTCCACTGTTATATCTATTTATAGATTGCGAATTTATATTTCTTTCAAGGTAGTCATAAACCAGTGTTTCTGGCGTAACAAGGGGGCTTGGAGGCAGATATTAGGGGCGGCATTTATGTAAAGAAAGTCAGTTTACGCCAACGATTACGTCTTAACTTTTAAATGATACGAGTAAAATCACTGTAGCGTTGAAAGCTCTGAAAATGGAGATAATATGTACATATACACACACATACATACATGTATTTCCATGCACACATACTTGCGAAGAGAATAAGCTTAGAGTATATAATCACCACGTTTTAGGTATAAGTATAGAAAATACATCATATTGTTTGATTCATCTATATCTATATACTCGTATCATAAAGCAACACGGACCAACCGACGACGTACCGGAGCTATACACTTTCAAATAAGTCGTCTACCACGCTGAATGGCTTGGTTCTCATTTAACCGATCATGTGGGTAGATCTTTTATGACTTTGCTTTGGCATATAGCCTGACACAAGTGGTTACCTCGACTACGCGGATCCCAGATGTGGAAGATCATGTACCTTCCCTTTTGGACCTTCTGCTGACCTCTCATACGAAAGGATATCAG